GGCAACAAGCTGTGGGCGCTGTGCGGGAGCGGCCCACCGCCCTCCTGAGCCGCAGTCCCTGCCACACCCACCGTCTCCTGCACCTGCCTTCTGTGTTCACCAACCACTCATGCTCCGTCTCCCCGTGGGAACGGTGGGACCCCGGCTGCATGCAGGTGTATTTTATGCGTAAATCTTGCCATGCTTCCCCCATCCTCCACGCTTTAAAACACAGATACACAGCATTGCTTTTCATAGCCGTACACTACATAATGTGAGCATCCGGCTGCCACCACTGCTACCTACATGAGGGAGAAATGAGCCTTTATCTTGTAGAAGCCACTGCTATTTTTGGGTTTTCTGATATTCACAGACAAAATGATCCTTACTTACTAGTAAAATAAGGATTTTTATTGATTTCTAAAAAAATAAAACAAAGCCCTGGCCGGTTTGGTGCAGTGGATGGAGCATTGGCCTTAAGACTGAAGGGTCCCAGGTTCGATTCCGGTCAAGGGCATGTATCTTGGTTGCGGGCACATCCTCAATAGTGGGTGTGCGGGAGGCAGCTGATCAATGTTTCTCTCTTATTGATGTTTCTAGCTCTCTATCCCTCTCCATAAAAAATCCTATTGGGGATGTGCCCGCAACCAAGGTACAAGCCCTTGACCAGAATCGAACCCGGGACCCCTCAGTCTGCAGGCCGACGTCCTATCCACTGAGCCAAACCTGTTTTGGCCAATAAAATATATTAATATATATATGTATATATACACACACAAATATATTTTAATCACTGATTTCACAGAGGAAAGGAGAGGGAGAAAGAGCGAGAAACATGAGTGATGAGGAGCGTCACTGACTGGCCTCCTGCTGCACACCCCACACTGGAAGAGGCTCACAGCCCAGGCCTGTGCCCGACAGAAACCAAACAAGGCCTCCTGGTTCATAGGTCGATGCTCAACCCGAGCCATGCCAGCTGGGCTTTACTGATTTCTTATTGAGTCACATTACTCTTTAGATATTAACGTATTAAATTATCTCTATCACATATATGTCACAATTCCCCCTTGTTTCTCAACCCACAGGGTAGCCAGTGTGACCTTGAAAACTTAAGTCACTCTCCTGTAAGTCAGGCAGCAGCACCCACCGCACTCGGTGAGACCCACCCACAGCCTGGTCCTCCGCCCACCGCCTGCAGGCCACACTGGCGGTTGGGCCCCTAACCGCTGGATTCGTTTATTCCCTTGGCCGCTTGCTGCTCTCCTCCTCCCCACACCCGTCTCCCAGGTCACTCTAGGGGCCGCCTCCATGGGCGCCTGTCCTTCCCTCTCTCACTGCTCTTATTCCTACACAGCACCCGCTGCATGAGGCCTGTTTTAGACTGAACTTCACGAGGACGAGGCTTTTCTGTCAAACTAGTCCTGGCAACACCGAATAGTTACGAACAAATCTATCATTTTCCTAGTGAATTGAAACGGTACTTTTTCCACATTAAGTTCTCATAGGTCTATTTCTGGTGTCTATTTTGTTCATTGATCTAGCTACCTTTTCTTTTATCAGACTGTAAGGTGGTGTTTTTTTATTTTGTTTTGCTTTTTAAGTATATTTTTATTGATTTCAGAGAGGGTGAGGGAGATAGGAACACCAATGAGGAGAGATTGGCTGCCTCCTTCACGCTCCCTACTGGGGATTGAGCCCGCAACCTGGGCATGTGCCTTTGACCAGAATTGAACCTGAGATTCCCTTCAGTTCACAGGCCAACGCTCTACTGAGCCAAACCAAACAGGGAAGCCTAAATGGTTTTAATTAGTTTAGCTTAGTAGTAAAAATTAGTCTTATTTTCAAAATGATAGGTAATTTTTCAAGGGAAAATCCTACTGAATTTAAGAGGGAACTGCAGTAGACTACCGGGTTACTTTGGAGAGAACTAATCTCTGTACTACCCAGTCTCCTCTTTGAGGGACAAGATGCTTCTCCATCATCCAGGCCATCGCACTGTCTCAGGGGGAAGCTGAGGAGCCTGGTGTCACTGGGCACCCCCATGGGCTTTGGTGCCTGTCCTGAAGGCTGTTCATTGGCCAGCCGGCCGGTCCGCACTGTCAGGCTGAATCACTTTGTGTAGCACCAGCCTTCTCCTTATAGATCAACTTACAAAGGACTGTGATAGTTATGAATTTAAAACTATTTTAAGAAGAACTGATACGTTTTTAATATAAAACTATTTAAGAACAGAGCACATTTGTCCATATGTTCAAATCTCTTTCTTGTCTTTTGATATGGTTTTCTTCACATTTATAACTAAAGTTCATTTCTAGAGTATTGTTTGATTTATATTGCTACTGAGTGGCATTCTGTGTATTTATTTTGTATCTAGCCATCTACTGCTTCTAATAGCCTTCAAGTTGGTTATTTCGTCTTTTTTTAGGTCTAACATGGTAGAGCTGCTTTTTTTCTTTACAAATCTAAGTGCTTACAACAGAGTCTGACACACATGGGTGCCCAATAAACATTAGCAATTATCTTCTCCAATATCTGCACCTTTTATTTTATTCTCTTAGCTAACTGTACTGACTAGCAGTTCCAGAATAAATTAGTGGTGATAGTCTTACATTTGACTTTTTGGGAACGTGTCCATGTATTTCATTATTAAATACATGCTAATGACTGCTTTGAACTATGGACTTTAAAAATATAATATTATCGGGTCTAGTAATAATTAATGTCGTTTTTAACATTCGTTTAAAATCTTGCTTTGCGTTGACTTGTATTGACATAACCTTCAAACACGTGGTATCTACAGAATGTGTGAAGTGCAACTAACAAGTTTTGCTTGAAAAAGTTTGTGTTTGGCTTGGTTTTTGTTGCAAAACTAGGGCTAAGAAGATGGCAGATGAAGAGCATATTCAGCACTGCATGCTTTACGAGTTCCAATTAGGAAGAAAAGCAAGTGAGGCTGCAAAAAACATCTGTAGTGCTCTTGGTCAAGATGCAGTTAGCGCCAGAAAATGCCAGCGTTGGTTTGAGAAATTTCGCGAGGGAAATTTTTCGTTAGATGACAAGAGTGGTCGAGGCCGTGTGTCCAATTTTGATCAAGAAGCTCTTCAAGCTCTTTTGGTGCAAAATCCTCAAATTACCCAACTAGAGCTTGCGACAACTTTAAATTGTTCACAAAAAACAATTTCCAATCAATTGCGTGCACTTGGCAAAGTCCAAAAGTTTGGAAAATGGGTTCCTCATGAGTTGACCGACAACAACCGTAATCAAAGAGTCACAATTTGCAGTTCGCTCCTCTCTCGTCAAAACCGTTTGCCGTTTTTAGAGCAAATTGTTACCGGAGATGAAGAATGGGTGCTGTATGTTAATTTGAAAAGGCTGCCTCAATGGTTGGACAAAAATGAGGCTCCGCAGCCCACGCCAAAACCTGACTTGCATGCGAAAAAAGTGATGTTGTGTGTTTGGTGGAATTTTAAAGGAATTCTTCATTATGAACTTTTACCATCTAACCAAACCATTACAAGTGCAGTGTATAGTGCCCAATTGGAAAGGTTAGCCCAAGCTTTAAGAGAAAAAGAACCCGCGCTGATTAATCGGAAGGGCGTAATTCTTCACCACGATAACGCACGAACGCATACTGCAAGAATCACTGCTGCCGGGACCGGTTTAGCTCAATGGATAGAGCGTCGGCTTGGGGACTGAAGGGACCCGGGTTCGATTCCGGTCAAGGGCATGTACCTTGGTTGCGGGCATATCCCCAGTAGGGGGTGGGCAAGAGGCAACTGATCGATGACTCTCTCTCATCGATGTTTCTAACTCTCTATCTCTCTCCCTTCCTCTCTGTACAAAATCAATAAAATATATTAAAAAAAAAAAAAAAAGAATCACTGCTGAAAAACTGCGCCAGTTGGAATGGGAAGTTCTCCCTCAACCTGCATATTCTCCTGATATTGCCCCTTCCGATTACCATTTGTTTCGTCCTTTGCAAAACTTTCTTCTTGGAAAAAAATTTAATAATGAAGAATGCCTCAAAAATGCATTGACCGAATTTTTTGCATCAAAATCACAAGAATTTTACAACAGAGGGATTAAAATGCTTCCTGAGCGTTGGGCACAAGTAGTAGAAAACAACGGCAACTATATTGTTGATTAAATTTTGTTGTATTGTTTAAATAAATTCGATTTAAAAAAGGTATTAGAAAACGACATTAATTATTACTAGACCTAATAAGTAAAGCATCCTTCTAACACTATTTTTTAAAGCTCAAAATCAAGACTGGCTTCTGATTTTAATTCAATGTCTTTACCATCTAAAGCTATTATATGGTGACATATTAAGAAGTCATAATATTGAACCATCTTGCATTTCTGGAACAATCTCACTTGGTCATCGTTTTTATTTGTCGGAATTTTATTTAGAGAACTGAAAACCTATAATAGTCATAAGTAAAACTGATCTGTAGTTTTTTTGGGGGGGAGTTATCGCTGTCACAGGTTGGTATCAGCATTATTCAGATATTACATAAAATTTTCCTTTGCTATGCGCTGAAACATTTCAGATGGCATAAAGAATTTTATTCTCTAGCCGAAACTGGTTTGGCTCAGTGGTAGAGCGTCGGCCTGCGGACTGAAAGGTCCCAGGTTTGATTCCGGTCAAGGGCATGTACCTTGGCTGCAGGCACATCCCCGGTAGTGGGTGTGCAAGAAGCAGCTGATCGATGTCTCTCGTGGATGTTTCTAACTCTCTACCCCTCTCTCTTCCTCTCTGTAAATAATCAATAAAATATATTTTAAAAAAAGTTTTATTCTAAAGGTTTGAAAGATTTGCTCAGAACTGTTTGGGCATGCTGCCTTCTGAGGAGGAGCGTTTTCTCACTCACTCAGTTTTTCCCTGAGGTTATTGGTCTGTGTAGTTCCTATCTTCTCACGGGTCCCAGTATGTCATGGTGTATCCCATCACTTTCCTCCCTGTATCCTCTCACTGATATTCCCCCTCCAGGGCACCGGGCAGCCGTGCATCCGCTTACCGTGGGGTCGGTCCAGAGAGAACATCTCGAGCACTCCTGGCAGGGGGCTCCAGGCGAGCGGGGATGCTGGCAGAAGTGGTCGTACCCACCGATGGGGACTCGGCAGAGGTAGCACATTTGGGCCCCGCAGCGGCAGGACATGCGGTTGCAGCCTTCGGACTTGATGAGGCCCGTCCCACACTTATGGCATTTTCTGATGCGAGCAGCGGTCATCTTCTCTTCACTGGAAAAAGAACGCAAGATTGGAGACACCAGGGAAGACGAGAAGAAAGAAAAACATGGCTGTTCCGTATGCCTGCCCAGCCCTTTTGGTGACATTCAAGAGAGAAGAGCCCACGTTTTGGACCGGAGAACTGGGTTCTGTTGATCAGTTGTTGACCTTCAGGAAGTTACTCACTGACTGGAGACTCAGTTTCCTCATTTTTAAATTGGGAAAGCACAACTTTCGCACAGTGTTTTGAGGATTGTAGGGAAATACAAAGTCCCCTAGCCCGGTGCCTGGCACAAAGCACTTAGAAAACAACCATCTATTTGTTACAGGTGTCTCTATAGTCTGAAAACGGAGAGAAAAACTCAGGGTTTTCTGAAATGATGTGTTTTATACATACAAAGCTGGGTAACGGAAGCCAGTAAGCCTAAATCTTAGTTACATTCACCCCTTGGATTTTTACCTATCTGGCATGGGGTGGGATGGACACGGGTGGGGGTGGTCCCACAGCCAATGGGACCCCACATTCTCAGACTTCCTGGCAGAGGGGATGGGCACACATGTGGCTCGTGGGAAGCCTGTAGGGCTGCATGTTGCCAGAAGCATGCTCGCTGATGTGGAAGGCAGGAGACGAGGATCAAAACGGCAGGTCTTGGCTCTTTGTCCCGAGCTGCCACTACTGAACCAAGCTCCTCCCAGGACGCTGCTCCTGACTCTCGCTACCTTGGCCGATCACTCTGTGTGTTTGTCTTCCCTACGAGGCTGAGTTCCTTGAAGGGAGAGAGCAGAGGCCGGGCTGGCATTACCCGTGTGGTCTTGACAGGAAGTTACTTACTGAGACTAGGGAAGAGCAGGAAGGACCCAAAAAGTGTCAGCCCTGCAGCCGGGACTCACCCCACTGCTCCACACCATAATGACTAAGCACCGGGAGGAGTTCTGAGCTGCGCCTCCCTCCTAGGGCTGAGGAAACAGCCTTCGTCCCCACCTCTGCAGGTTTTTCTGTGAAGTAAGAGCAGCCATGGGAGCCAGGGCAGGCAGGGGTTTTGCATTACTGGCATTTAAGATTGCTGCGGTAGTATGCTCCTTAGAAGCCAGACCGTTCTTTAAAAATAGAAAAGTGCATTAGGAAATTGGCTGCTATTCATTTAGGTCTAATTTTTGAATGACCCAAAATGAAGGAAGTCAGAACTCTGGCTTGAAAATAATTTAAACCCAGTTCAAGTTACAGAACAGATGAGTTCTAAGTTTTGCTGAATAGAAAACACTGTCAAGACGACAATGTTTAAATGCAGTGCATTATTATTGTCAACTAAATAATATAACACACATGCTCATTATTTCTGTTACTGAGCAACTGTGAGGACACCTGTCAATGCTTTATGTTCAGACTTACAAGGTTCTAGTGAGAAAACTCCCAATTTGCAATGCTGTCACCAAAATATAATTGCCACCGAAACCGGTTTGGCTCAGTGGTAGAGCGTCAGTCTGCGGACTGAGGGGTCCCGGGTTCGATTCCGTTCAAGGGCATGTGCGTTAGTTCCGGGCACATCCCCAGTGGGGGGTGTGCAAGAGGTAGCTGGCCGACGTTTCTCTCTCATCGACGTTTCTAGCTCTCTCTCTCTCTCCCCCTCCCTCCTCTGTAAAAAATCAATAAAATATATTTAAAAACAACCCCCCCCCCGCAAGCACAGCCTCTCTGCGTCAGAGCGCCCCGTAGATGGAGGGGTGGCTCTCACCCCCGCCCTCTGGTCGCCTGGGCTGGTGACTGTAGCTACAGTGTGGGAGAGAAGTGGCTGAGAAGAACCCGGTTACACAGTTCTTCCTGAGGTTTGGAAAGAGGGTGTGTTTGCTTACTGTTTCACCACAGCCAGCCCCAATGTGAAACAATAGCAGGTGTGGTGAGGCGAAAAGGCACTCCCAAATGGACAAGAAATACGTCCGTGAATGCAATGCAACACTGCACGGATATCCATTCCAGTCCTTTGCTTTGTAGAAGAACAGTAGTAGGCAGGGCCAAAATGGCCTGGTACCAAAAAGGACTGCCATTGAGGGACTGTGACCACCTGCCCAGCAGATGAAAATGCAACTGGAACTGGGGTAAATCTGTGGATTCTTCTGGGAGGAAGGTGATTTGGCAACTCGATTCTAAACGAGGCAGGAAGCAGCCCCACAGGATGCGCTGCTGTTCAGAACAGGAAGAGAGGACCGAGTTGCAGCTGTGTCTGCTGACCTCATGCTCCAACAGGAAGGCTCGCTCCCTCTTCCCCCGGCAGAGCGCCTGCGATTCCAGGCCTCCCTCCTCGCCACTACTTAGGTACCTGGGAACTCCCCTGTGGGCGGCGCTCTCCGTTTCTTGGGCACATACTATTCAAATCTTAAATGGCTTTCCTTTGTGTACTTTTTTTCCTTCATTTAAATTCTTTATTGTTGAAAGTATTACATCTTTTTATCCCATTGACCTTTCTCCGCCCACTCAGGCCCCAGCACATGCCCTCACCCCCTAGTGTCCGTGTCCATTGCTTATGCTCAAATGCATGCATACAAGTGCTTTGGTTGGTCTCTTACTCTCCCTGCTCCATACAACGTCTCCTGCCTTCCCTCTGAGGTTTGATGTCTGTTCGCTGCTTCTATGTCTCTGCAACTATTTTTGTTCATCAGTTTATGTTGTTCATTATATTCCACAAATGAGTGAGATCATGTGATATTTATCTTTCTCTGACTGAGAAAGCATAATGCTCTCCAGGTCCATCCCTGCTGTTTCAAATGGTCAGAGTTCTTTCTTTTTTACAGCAGCGTAGTACTCCGTTGTGTAGATGTACCACAGTTTTCTAATCCACTCATCTGCTGATGGGCACTTAGGCTATTTCCAAATCTTAGCGATTGTAAAGTGTGCTGCTATGAACATAGGGGTGCAAATATCCTTTCTGACTGGTGTTCCTATTTTTTATTTACAAAAAAGTGTACTGTTTTAACCATTTAAAGTGCACAATTCAGGAGCATGTAAATAGTATACTGCCTAAGTTGTGCAACCATCCAGCTTTATTCTTATAAACATCCCCTTTCCCTGCAATGGCTGATCTGCTTTCTGTCTCTAACGGATGTGTCCACTCTGTACACAGGTAACTATCCATGTCTACGGACATTTCATATAGATGGAATCATGTAAGATATGACCGACTTCTTTCACTTAGCGTGTTTTCAAGAGGCATCCATGCCGCACCGAAGGGTAGCAGGTTTGATGCCCGGTCAAGGGTGTGTACTGGGTTGCAGGCTCGCTCCCTGCTCCCGTTCAGGGTGCATGCAGGAGGCAACCAGTCGATGTGTCTCTCTCCATTTGTGGGCCCGAGAAACTAAAGGAACATGTTACCTGCTCCTGAAGGACAACAGGACAGGAATAGGGTAATAGTTACAGATATTCTGGTTCAAAAGGGAGAAAACGGAGGAAAAAGCAGTCACTATCCAGTCTATTTGGAAATCCAGCGGGCAGACTCCTATTTCAGATTGAGAATCCTCCTCTGTGGTTTGAGGCTGTGCTCTTGGCTCGGGGCTCCACTTTCCGAGCAGCCCTTTGAAAGAAAGGTGCAGATGCTTGCAGCTGAGCAGTTTTTAATCAGCCTGTTTCCTGCTTGGAGGACTGTGGGGGTCTGACAGTCGTCTTTCATTTCATACTCCGTCTTTCCAGTCCAAGCTGGCCTTGTTTCTGCTGATGTGACATTCTCAGGAACCTTGCGAGCTTCTATTTGCCACAGGAACGCACTGCATTAGGCACGCAGTGCATTTATAGGTATTTCCTCCATAACCCACCTCTAGTTCTGACTGCTGCTGAGATGGCCGAGGGGTAATGCCCTAGTTTCCTAAGGCTGCTGGTTAGATTGCGGATCTGTGAGCCACTTGCTCAAACTCTTCAAAGAGCCTGTATATGACAATACTCTCCAGTTCTGAACATATCCTTGTTTTTCTCTAGGCTAGGGCATGCTTTTCCTGACAGTGAGCCTGTCCATTTTAGGGTCTTTTCTCATCTGGATCAGATGAGAATTTCAGAAACAATGACATCCTGTTCCTTTGTGTTAGTAGCTCTTCCCTCAATTGATCTCTTCCCACTTTTATTTAGCTCTTCAGAACGATGCAGGACACACATTAGCTAAGCTTTCTGACGTTACATAGTAAGAAGTCCCTTTTCTCCAGTGTGTGTGTGTGTGTGTGTGTGTGTGTGTGTGTGTGTGTTATTTTTTGTTTGTTTATAGCTTTAATACAGAAAGAGCTCTTAAATATTGTGAACTCTATGTACGACATATATATTAAAAAGATTCCTTTATCATTTTTCAGTTTGTCATTTTTCTCTTATTTTAAAAATATATTTTATTGATTTTTTACAGAGAGGAAGAGAGAGAGATAGAGTTAGAAACACCGATAAGAGAGAGACATCGATCAGCTACCTCTTGCACACAAGGTGCATGCCCTTGACCGGAATCAAACACAGGAGCTTTCAGTCCAAATGCCGACGCTCTATCCACTGAGCCAAACAGGTTTCGGCTTCCCTATTTTTAAATATAAAGTTTTTAAACTACCTAGAATGAGGGAGGGATCAATTTTTTAAAAAATAAACTGTTTTTCCTCGGTGCCGCATCTACTGGGCGGAGGAAGACCATTCTCAGCAGCCAGACTGTGGGCAGCCCGGATAACGTGGACCTCACTCTGAAGGGACGCACAGCCCCAGAGGCACCCTGCGGGGGGACCTGAGCCACATCAATGTGCAGCTCTGTCTGCCTGGGAGGAAAAAGAAGAAATACATCTGCCAAGTTCGGATGAGGTCAGGCATTGCTTGTTCAGTAGCTCAAGCCCAGAAAGAGTTGATTTCCAGTTGCCCTCGAATATTCCCTGATGGCGATGGGACTCCAGAAGGAGGCCTTCCTGTCATCGCAATCCCACCTCGTGAAGCAGGGTGAGCTCTGCTGAAGGTGTGATTACTGGCCATTGTTTGTTCACTTTAACCGTGGCTGGCATGGAGGAGGGGTCCCCAGGCTCGGGGAAGCCACCCCTGGGGGAGAGTCAGCCCGCAGGTGTGACCACCACCTGGCGCAGCTTCCCAGGCCCCTTTCTTCCAGTTTCAGTAACAGGTTTCCATTTCCTTCTGAGTTCTCACCAGCAGCACCTTTAGTGTCCATATTCCTACTAACCATCTCCGATGGTGATCTAACTATTCTCTAAGGCAATTTAGTTTTTGCCTTGAATGTTCCTCACTTCTTTCTGAGCCTCCAGTTGTGGAGTTTCTAATGTCCATAGTTTTACTGAATGCCTGCTCACGACAATCTAGGTTTTTTTTTTTTTGCTATAATACTTCTCAAAATTCTTCCAGGTTCTACCCTTTGCCCAATTCCAAACCCACTTGCACATTTTTAGGTAACTGTTACAGCAGGGTTCCACTTCTGGTACCAAATTCGTATTAGTTTCCTATTGCTGCTGTCACAAATCATCACAAATTTATTAGCTTACTAAATAATACACACGTACGATTTCATAGTTCTGTAGATCTGAAGTATAGCACAGGTCCTTCCAGTCCAAAATCAAGGAGCTGGCAGGCCACGTGACCTACTGGAGGCTCTAGGAGAGAATCTGTTTGCTGCTCATATGGGCTGTCAGAATCCAGTTCTTTGCAGCTGGAGGGCCAAGGGCCCTGTTTTCTTGGTGGCTGGAAGCAGAAGGTCGGTCCCTGCTTCTAGATACTGTTGCATTCCTTATTCAGGCCTTCTTTCTCTACCTTCGAAGCAGCAATGAGAGGCTGAGTCCTTCTCATTCTCCCTGCCTCTGTCCATCACTGCATCTCCATCTGACCAGAGAGAGACACGCTCTCTACTTTTAAGGGGTCATGGGATTAGACTGTTTACCTGGAGAATCCAGAATAGCCTCCCCATCTCAAAGTCCATAACCTTCATCACACCTGCAAAGTCCCTTTCGCCATGTAAGGTGGCATATTTCCTGTTCACAGGTTCTGGAGATTGGGGCATGGACATTTTGGGGGCTTTTATGCTGTCCACCAAATCTGAGGTCAAGAGCAGCCAGGAAGCCATCTGCCTAGATTTCAAATTCCCTCTCTGCACTTACAACCTGGGAGCCATGGGTAAGTCGCCTGGGGCTCTGTGTCTCGGCTGTGTCATGTGTAAAATGAGCAAATAGTATCGACTTGTGACATAGACTTGGAGACCTTTAACTAAAGTGACAACCTGTTCCTTCCCCTTCAAACTTAATGTGGACATAAAGTAAGGTGACCAGACGTCACGCGACGTCTGATCACCTTAACATAAAGCCACCCCACTAGAGACTACACACGGTGCCTGCCTGGGAGCAGGCCATGGCCAGTGACTCATACACTTTCTGGGTCACTTACAAGCCCAGAAAAGCTGCCTGCCTGGCAACTTGTCTCTCTCATCACCGCAGGCTGGAGTGTAAATGTGGCTGTAACCAAGTCCCAACCGTAGGTAATGGCGAAGCATGAGATAAAGGAACCAGTGTCTCTGAATGACCTCATGGGACAGCTCTGCCCCGCTCCTGGCAGGGCTGAACTACTGTATGAGAGAATAGGCGTTTGTGTTAAGTCAATGTACTTAATCAATTAATATCTGTAAAGAGTTCAGCCACATAAGGAGTGCTCCACAGTAATGACTCTTACTACTGACTGCATTAGCATGAATTCTACTCAATGTCACAGGCCACCAGTGACAGATGAAAGCAAAGTCCCAACTGGACTTTGGTGGATAGAGCATCAGCCCATTGAAGGGTCCTGGGTTCAGTTTCGCTCAAGGGCATGTACCTTGGTTGCACACTTGACCCCTGGCCCTGGTCAGAGCATGTGCAGGAAGCAATCAATTGATGCGTTTCTCTCACATCGATGTTTCTCTCTGTCTCTACCCATTCCTTCCACTCAAAAAAATCAATGGAACATTATCCTCATTTGAGAAGTAACAAAACAACATTAGCACCATCTAACCTAACTAAAACATTATTGCTTATTAATTTAGATAATAAGGAAGCAACATATACTGAATTCATATATGCCAGGCATGTACTATGTCACGTTGGACCTGGGAACAGCTCTGAGGCTGCAGAGATGAGGAACGGAGGCTCAGAATTAGGTCCCTTTCTGGAGGTCACTCTAGACTGGGGAGGGTGAGAACCTGTTCCCTTCACAATGCACTCCCCTCTCTGCCAGAGGCAGGGTGACGTGTAAGTGCTGTGAATCAGCCAGTAAACCCCCTGGATTATGCTACTCACATAGAGGTCCGGTACTTGATGTCATCCTTCTCAGCCAGCTCTTCACAGGTGAGGCCATTGTGCTCCTTCCAGAGCCCCTGGCACTTCCTGCAGGTCTCCTGGGGAAAGAGCAGACACACAGACACTCCTGGTGAGTAACACATGGAAGTTCTGCTCAACAACGGGGAGTGGGCACTAAGCTTCCCGTGGCCTGATCTTCCAGGCAGGCGTCTTCAAACTGCAGCCCGCAGAGGAGTCTGATCCGGCCCGCCAGGTTTTTTGGGCAGTGAGCGCAGCCGAGGTGTTACAGTAGGAATTAGTAGTTCATATAGTCCGGCCCTCCAGCTCTCTGAGGGACCGTGATCTGGCCCCCACTTTAAAAAGTTTGAGGACCCCTGTTCCAGAGGCTCCTCCCTCTGAGCAGGCACCTTTCTGCGGACACCTCCATGGAAGAGGGAGAAAGCATGAGACATTTTTCTCTCCTTAGATCACGAGGATGCACTGCTTCCAGCACCACTTTGTATAAGGTTTTCTACAATGCCAGGGGCCACCTGCAAAACTCCCACAAAAGGCAGATTTAGATTTCGGGTTTTTAAAAATAAAATACTGTGAGCTGCTTGAGGGCAGGGTCTGTGAGGTCTTATTAATTTTTGCAACCCCTACCCCCAGTGTCCCAGTGTTGTCTGGCACAGAGCACTCTTGTTGAACTGAGTTGAAGAATAGTCTAACCGTGTTTCCCCAACTTTTGACATATGGGTACCCCTTCTATAATTTTCGTAACGCTGAGTACCCCTCGTAGTCATGAGAACGAGGTAGAATTAGGTGCAGCTAAGCACGGTGCAGTGCATATCCCCCCCCAAACTCTTCCCGTACCCCTGGGGTACGTGTACCCCACTTTGGGAAACACTGGAAAGGATTACTAGGGGTTCTTATGGGAGGCATTCCTCCCTCACAAACATGGAACATTCTCCATAACTTAACTTCATTTATAAAAAACATGAATTTAAAAATTACTGTTTTTTATTCTAGGATCCTTTGTAATTTATAAACTGTCTCATTAATAATGAGAATTTTAAAAAATAATGCCATTTAATTAAATTCCCATAAATGGAAACTACAACCCCCATAAGTCCAGTAGAGAAGACAGTGTCATTTTCACTGGGGACCGGCCTAGTCTGGGACAGTGAGGCTTGAGAAGGTGGCCGAGAGCTGGAAGATGAGTCAGAGAGGAGAGGAGGGCAGCATTCTGGCAGAGGAGCAGCTGGAGCAGTCGGTGGGAAGGTGGCCTGCAGACAGTGAAAATGGGCCTGCGGGGCCCACAGGGGCCTGGAAGGGGCTGACTGCCAGTTTTATCCTAAAAGCACCAGGAAGGTGGCCAAAGGTGTCACGCATGGAAATAACATGATCAGTTTTGTGATTTTACAAGGTCATTCTTCACGGAGAACAGATGGGCAGGAGGAGAGAGTGGAAGCCTAAAGATAGTTAGGAAGCTACTAAAGTCACCAGGAGAGAGATCAAGGAGGCCCACCCAGACCTTGGAGGCAGGTGAGGGCGTGAAGGAAAGCTGACAGCCTGGAGAGACATTTAGGAAGCAACGACAGTGTGGTGCTGGAGTGAGAAGAGGGATGTGTCCGGGAATTCACCTGGTTTCTGGCTTGTGTAACACAAGGTAACAGCAGCACAGATGGAGCTTGGGAACAGGGGGAGGGCTGGCGTGGGCAGAGAGAGGGCAGGCTTTAAGATCTGGTCTGGAATTTGATCTGGGTGGTGATGGCACAGGCGACCTGTGGGACACCCAGTAGAGACACCTGCCAGGCATGCAGGTGAGTGTAAATGTCTAGCATCTGGGAGTGGCTGGGCTAGAGATCACCAGAAGACTCAATTATATTTTCACATCAATTCTAGGAACATCTATCACTATATCCTCCACTCATCATCGAACATTTTCCAATATATATTGCTCAGATGACTCTCAAAAGGCGCAGAATAGTATGCACAGCACAGGTGCCACCATTTCTACGTAAAGAAGGTGGTGGGGGTGGAAGATAGTGATAGAAAACCAACCAGAAAGGATGCCCACGGAACTGGTAGTATGACTGTCCTGAGTGGCTGGGAGGCAGGGCCGAGACTCTCACTGTAGGCCTTTTGAATCTTACACTACATAGATGTACTATCTAATTAAAAGCTAAACAAAACTTAGAGAGAGAGAAATGAAATGGACTGTTTTAGGAGCTGAGACTTGAAGAGCCCTTTAAAGGGCGGCAATGAGGTGGTGGGGTAGAGATGAGCTGATCAGAGATTCTATATTAAATGTTGTTGCTTCCCAAGTGAACGATTTTATCTGGTCCACTAACCACATTCCTGTCAGGAAACAGAGGCTCAGTCAACAGTGAATTATTACACACCAAAATGTAAAGCAGCATCAACCCCATTTCTATCTGGTCTAGTAATAATTAATGTCGTTTTTAACATTCGTTTAAAATCTTGCTTGGCGTTGACTTGTATTGACATAACCTTCAAACACGTGGTATCTACAGAACATGTGAAGTGCAATTAACAAGTTTTGCTTGAAAAAGTTTATGTTTGGTTTGGTTTTTGTTGTAAAACTAGGGCTAAGAAGATGGCGGATGAAGAGCATATTCGGCACTGCATGCTTTACGAGTTCCAATTAGGAAGAAAAGCAAGTGAGGCTGCAAAAAACATCTGTAGTGCTCTTGGTCAAGATGCAGTTAGCGCCAGAAAATGCCAGCGTTGGTTTGAGAAATTTCGCGAGGGAAATTTTTCGTTAGATGACAAGAGTGGTCGAGGCCGTGTGTCCAATTTTGATCAAGAAGCTCTTCAAGCTTTTTTGGTGCAAAATCCTCAAATTACCCAACTAGAGCTTGCGACAACTTTAAATTGTTCACAAAAAACAATTTCCAATCAATTGCGTGCACTTGGCAAAGTCCAAAAGTTTGGAAAATGGGTTCCTCATGAGTTGACCGACAACAACCGTAATCAAAGAGTCACAATTTGCAGTTCGCTCCTCTCTCGTCAAAACCGTTTGCCATTTTTAGAGCAAATTGTTACAGGAGATGAACAATGGGTGCTGTATGTTAATTTGAAAAGGCGGCCTCAATGGTTGGACAAAAATGAGGCTCCGCAGCCCACGCCAAAACCTGACTTGCATGCGAAAAAAGTGATGCTATGTGTTTGGTGGAATTTTAAAGGAATTCTTCATTACGAACTTTTACCATCTAACCAAACCATTACAAGTGCAGTGTATAGTGCCCAATTGGAAAGGTTAGCCCAAGCTTTAAGAGAAAAAGAACCCGCGCTGATTAATCGGAAGGGCGTAATTCTTCACCATGATAACGCACGACCGCATACTGCAAGAATCACTGCTGAAAAACTGCGCCAGTTGGAATGGGAAGTTCTCCCTCAACCTGCATATTCTCCTGATATTGCCCCTTCCGATTACCATTTGTTTCGTCCTTTGCAAAACTTTCTTCTTGGAAAAAAATTTAATAATGAAGAATGCCTCAAAAATGCATTGACCGAATTTTTTGCATCAAAATCACAAGAATTTTACAACAGAGGGATTAAAATGCTTCCTGAGCGTTGGGCACAAGTAGTAGAAAACAACGGCAACTATATTGTTGATTAAATTTTGTTGTATTGTTTAAATAAATTCGATTTAAAAAAGTATTAGAAAACGACACTAATTATTACTAGACCTAATATTTTATTTGTTAAAAAATAGGTTTTGCCGAAACCAGTTTGGCTCAGTGGATAGAGCGTCGGCCTGTGGACTGAAAGGTCCCAGGTTCGATTCCGGTCAAGGGCATGTATCTTGGTTGCAGGCACATCCCTGGTGGGGGGTGTGCAAGAGGCAGCTGGTCGATGTTTCTCTCTCATCAGCTGTGGGACACGGGCTCCAGTGCTTCCCGGAGAGCTGGGAACGGCCCATTAGGATACAGGATGGACTGAGATTTCTTAATGAGGACAGGACTTCCTCATCACCGAGCAACCTGAGACTGGACGCGTGAGGAAGCAGCTGTCCTTGCCACCTTTGGCCAGCTGCACGCCTGGCAGGCACAGAGGGAAGTGTGTTTTAGGACTCACCAGGAGTGCTCCGCTGAACTACAGGTATCAGTTACTTGGTCCTCCTCCGCCAGCCCCCGGGCCTTTCCTTTTCAGTACCTGCCACTCACTCCTCTAAAGGCACCAGGACGATGACACGTGGGATCTGTCAGTGACCGTGCTTGAGAGCACTGCCACCGCACATTGCTCTGGGATCATGTCCTGTTCCGAGTGACACTGGTAATGGAGACAACTCCTGCCCGGACAGAACAGCGGAGTTCTGTCACCTTTCCTCCCCCTTCAACCAACACCCCCTCGCGCGGCGCTCGCCAGCCTTTCGGACCCGCTATTCTAGAGCGTTCCCAGCAAAGGATCAGTGAACAGACAGAGCCCTCCTGCTGGAGTCTACATCTGGGAGGGTGAGGAGTGGACATGGACTGAAGAACATGTAGGAGTGGCGTGGGGGAGGGCAGGCAGGGAGGCTGCCGTCTACCCTGGTGTGAAGGACCCCTCGTGCAGAGCCGGGGTTTCTGCTCAAACCTGAGGGGTACCTGGTGGGAGCAGAATGGAGGAGCTCAGGGAGCAGCGTCCCCACAGCCTCACAGCTTGTCCAGGGCCAGTACAGTTGGCCTCCTGCCAGTGCCACACGCCCGACACCCTCACCCGTGCAATGCTCTGCCTAGGCGCCCTTTGTCCTCTGGTAACATGTGCTCCTCAGTTCCCATGTCCAATACCAGCGCTCTAGTCTAGGAGACTCACGTGGCCCGGGCAAAAGCTGGCGCTCCTCTCCTGGACTCTGGGAGCACGTGGCTCTCGCTCTATGACAACACTTTGAATCGTGTCTTGTAACGACCTGATTACATCACATCTCCATGGAGTCCAGCACTCCTTGTAGGCAGACTATGCCCTGCAGATGGCTGGGAGGGTTCAATTTATCCATGCAAAAAGAACGTCCTCTCTGAGCATCTATCTTGTCAATATGGAGATGCACTAGTGAGTAAGCCGCAGATTCCTGATTACAAGAAGCTTATTTATAATCCGCCACACTATGATTTAG